GACTGAGGGGCTCCAGGGTGCCTGGGAGGCTCTGTTGGTTAAGTGTCTGACTCTTGATTTAAGCTCAGATCATGATCTCAGGGTCGTGAGACGGAGCTCCATGTCGGCTCTGCACTGGGCATGGAGTCTGCTTGAGATTCTCTCTCTCCCTCTGCCCTACCCCCCACTCACACACACACTCTCTCTCTCTAAAAAAATAAAAATAAAATAAAGGCTGAAGTAGTTAGACAGGGTACCAGGAACAATATAGAACTTAGCTGGGCCTTAAAGGTCAAAGAGATGCCTCCTTCTCAAATGCAGTGGTAACATTCAAATACTTGGTGAAAGGACACAAACTTTCAATGATAAGGTGAGAAAGTTCTGAGGATCTAAAGAACAGCGTCATGCCTACAGCTGATAATACTGTATTATACACTTGACATTCAATAGAGTAGATCTTAAACACCCAGATAAAAGGTAATGATGGGAGAGGATGTATCAGTTAGATTATGGTAAATATTTTACAATGCATATCAAATCATTATGTCGTACATGCGATATACAATTCTGTTTGTCAATTATGTCTCAATGAAAATGGAAAAAAAAAAATAAAACAAGGCAAGGATAACAGTTAAAAAAGAAACCAAGCCAAGAAAACAGTGCGGGAGCAGTCCTGAAGGCTCCCTGAGGTGCTGGGATTAACCTGTTACTTGCTGGATCTTGAGTTCCTAGAGGATGGGGCAGGCTGCCAGAATGGGAAGGGTCCTGGGGCCTTCGGGACACAAGCTATTTGCCTAGAAGTACAAACATATTTCAGTATTTTAAAAACTGGCACGGTGGCACAGAAGTACCAGGTTGAATCGCTGTTCTGAGCAGGAGAGAGCTGAGAGCTCTCCAGCAAAGGTGGTGCTGAGATGCTTGAAAACTCATGGTTGACAAGGAGGCCACCCAGTCGTGTGATGGCAAGGCAGGCAGGACTGGATGGGGAAACCGGAGCAGTGGCTCTGCCCCCACGCAGGCTGAGCTGAGCTTCAGCGACCACGCACACAACAGGAAGAATCCGTGAGAAAACCAATGGCAATTCCTTTGACCCTGTTTGCTAAGGGGCAGATGTTGTTGTTTTAGTAGTAGTAGTATCACCGTCATCATTGCCATCGGGAACACCACTGGACAAAAGAACCTGGGATCCAGCTCTGTACTGCCACTATCTCTGTGACCATGGACAAGTCAACCACTCTGATCAAAATTTTGAGTATATGAAAAATGTGAATTTTCTGGGGAACAGGCCCATATTTTTATCAGATTCTCAAAAAGAGTCAGAAACTACTGATTTTCAGGGTGTCTGGGTGGCTCGTTAGGTTAAGCATCTGTCTTCGGTCATGATCCTAGGATGTTTTTACTTTTTTTAAGATTTTATTTATTTATTTGTCAGAGAGAGAGAGAGAGCACAAGCAGGAGGATTGGCAGGCAGAGAGAGATGTAGGCTCCCTGCTGAGTAAGGACCCCCCCCCCCCCGCCATGTGGGTCTGAGCCAAAGGCGAAAACTAAACCATCTGACCCCCCCAGGTCCCCAAATAAAAAAAATCCTTAAAAAAAAAAAAAAAAAAAAAAACTATTGATTTTCAAATTCTACATTTTCTTTTCTTTTTTTTTTCTTTTTTAAGATTTTATTTATTTGACAGAGAGAGACACAGTGAGAGAGGGAACACAAACAGTGGAAGTGGAGAGGGAGAAGCAGGTTTCCTGCCAAGCAGGGAGTCCAATGTGGGGCTCGATCCCAGGACCCTGGGATCATGACCTGAGCCAAAGGCAGATGCTTAACGACTGAGCCACTCAGGAGCCCCTAAATTCTACATTTTTGAAAAGCTTACTATTCACTTCAAATATCCAGAAACAAATGGTCTCAGCTGATATTAGGGTAAATGATATCTATTAATCACTATTCTGTTGCCCTTTATTCTAAAGGCCACCAAATTTATTTTGTATTTCCCTCAGGAAATATGCGTTACTTCATTTTTCAAACGTTGCACTCAAGAGTATTATTTGAATATAAATCACAAGACACACTTATTTCCAAATTTTAAACCTTTATTTTGAATACTTAAGCATAAAATTGTTAACAATAACCATAATATTAGTAAGAAGAAAAAATATTAAAATATGAAAGTAAGTACTGAAACACATACTTTATTTAATTTCAAAACATTTGACATGGAAACACAGGTCACCAACATCAAATAAATTCCATTGCATCCTGGCACCTGAACTTTCCCTAAAACACAAAAAAGAAGGTTCTCGGGAGCCATTAAACAAACTTTATGATTATTTGTTAAGAAAACAAAAAACCGTCGGGCGGTTCTGTACAAAAATCTTACCAAAAATGATTTCCAAGGTGTATTTATGTAGATTACTATAGTTAAAGAAAAAAATAATAATAATAAAAGAGAACAAAATATCCACCCTTACTTAAAATGTCTTAACAGTACAAGAATGGAGCATCGCTCATACAAAAACTGAAGAGACATACATTACCTGCACTCAGAAATCCCTTGCATCACTTGGTGATTTGCTCCTCCCAGACACCACTGGTGCCGTCCCCTGGTTGTGCAGAATTTGAATTCTGTTTGATATAATGCGAGACCTGCATACTCAACCAACAAAATCTTTATTTTCATGTATATTGTGTGAAAACAAATTGAGGCAAAACTGAATTCCAGCTCACCTGGAAAAAGGTATCTTTTCTCCTGCTCTGGCATCTCAGTGCTTGTTTATGAATCCCAGAGCCCTTTCTGACCTCCCCTGGACCATTCCTCAGTTTTCACCAGCCATTATACTGGTCCCTGCAGTGTGCCTCTGTGGGTTGGCAGGAAAACTTGTAGAATCAGGTTTCATGGGAGGAAAATGCATTGTCCTTCTGAAGCCCCAGTCTATGCTCCAAAAAAAAAAAAAAAAAAGCTCTATCCTGTGTGGTTAATTTCCCTGGAGTATGTGACCACATTTACAATGGGCGTTGTCAAAAATAAAACCTGAGAATAAAACCAGGCCTTGGATATTGCAATCTCAACAAGGAGGGCTAACACAACCCTAGGCAGCATTTCGACATCCTGAAATGTCTGCGGCCAGATGTTCCTGGGGCTTACCAAAATGGCATTTGATTAAGAGATTATTGCAAAGGTTGTTTTATAAATCATACGGTGGGCCATATGCATTCAAAATAGTTCCTACAATGCTAGAAAAGGAGAATTTAATACCGGAAAGTATTTACAGTGCTACCAATCAGGCAACAGAGTGGAAACGGGGCGGGGGGGTGGTGGTCTACAAATAACCAGCACCAGCATGCTTCGGGAAATGAGTGATTACATGAATTTCGCTGTTTATTAGTGCAGAGACATGCTGTAAGGATTAAATGAGAGGAAAGGAAGGGGTGGCCCAGAAGCCCATTAGTTTGCCAAATACAAAACTTGACATTTTTGAGAAAAATACAATTAAAATGTGTATATATTTTTGACAACTAAATTACAAATGTCTTTGTAATTTCTATATACGTTGTATATAAAAAGCAAGGAAAACTGCTGTATTTTTTAATGGAAAATGGGGGGTTCAATCCCTGCAAAAGCACCAAATGCATATCATTTAGGATAACGCCTCTGACACATGTTTGACAACTAAATTACACAGCTCTTTGATATACTGTGTATGAATAATGGCAATTATGGCCAATAAAATCAAAGAAAGAAAAAAAACTAATTAACACTAACATATCATTATGACTCACTAGCCTATAAAATCCTGTGCCTGCTCTAAATTGCCAGCAATTGGCAATTCCCAAATTTCTAAGGATGAAGACAATAGTTTCCAAGTAACTGGAGACACCCCAGATTTTGGGGGGCTCTCAGGAGCTTTCCCATCACTTTCTCCTATCAAAAGGCCCAAAGCACAATAATGACTTATCAAACCCACCATCCCCACTCCCAAGAATTGTAAACTGCAGTGATTAGTTTGGGATCCTAAGCAAATTATGACACTGCCTTATTTAAAAAAAAAAAAAAGATGGTGGTTAATTTTTTTAGTAGAAAGAGTATGGAATTTGGAGACAAAAGGCCTGAGTTCAAATTCCAGATTAGACATTTATTATCACTGTAACTTTGGACAGATTATTTAACCCTCCCTCAAGTGGGAATAGTAACAATGTCTACCCTCACAGAGTTGTTGTGAGGAGAAACAAAGCAAAATGAATGTGGAAATATTTAAAAATGAGGAAAAAAAACCACTCTACAAATGTTAACTCTTCCTCTGTGCTATGAACAGGCTTCATCTAAATTTAGCAGGTGAGAAAGGTACAAAAGTATCCTGCTCCAAAAATCTGAATGCACTGAAAGTAAACTGATCTTAATAGAAAGAGTAACACACTTCAGAGGGAAAGACTCTATGAAATCTGGATTTAGTAAAACTGACCCAGGTTTCACATGGAGAAAAATCTGGCAGAAATTTTCGGTAAGACATTAAACCTGTTTTTACACAGTGAGTCAACCCAGATCTTAAAAGCTTCTGTGGCTTTAAGATTCTATACGAGCATCAGAGATGCTAAATTAATTGAAATTAAAAAGCAAAAATAAAAAATCAAACTTGGCTACCGACAGCTAAGTAAAAATGAATTATCGGAAGACTTAATAAATAACTGTAGATAACAGTTTTATTCTTCCAACTTTATTACTGAAAAAATTCATAGTCAGAGATGACCTCCTAAACTCTTAAGGTCACTCCATGGTGACATCACTGAAACCCAGAAGAGGGCTGACTTTCCAAAATTTTCCTGGATGTAGGGTATTTCTGCATAAACGTACCAAGTGAGAAAACACACTGAGGCACTCTGCAAAGGCCATCAGGTCATACAAGTGTGTAAGATGTTCTTATTAGAGAAATCTGAAAAGCTTTTAAAGATTTTTTAATTTTGTGGCATAAGCCCAGATCTGCAAAATTTACAAAATAAAGTATTCTCCAGAAGTAGCATAAAAAAAAATGTATATCTCAATACAAAGTATAATAAATTGAAGGGGTAGAGGATGGAAACCACAAAACAAATTCCTTTCCTGGCTTCCTGGGCTGTTCTTTGACAACCATGGCTATGATTTTCCATGTCACTCAGTCACACACAATGCACATCTTTGTTCATCTCTGGTCCCCTGCAGTTACTCCTGTTCTGAGTTACTGAGCTTTCAAATAACTGATTTCTCCTGTTGCTTTTCTGAACTCCCTAAACGGCTCCAGCAATCAGCTCATCAGTTATCCATTCCTGACATGCATGTAGCACTGCGGGCCTCTCCCGTCTACCACTGCCTGGGTGGCGAAACCCTACACACAGGACTGAAGCGTGCGAGGAGGGGGTCTCAGTGCAACCCAGAGGAAAATTGATTTGCAAAACCAACTCAAAAGCAGCTGCCCTCCTTAAAATTCCATTGAATCTTGAGTTTCCGGAAAGTCCTCTAAGCCTAAGGGGTCCCCTACGCCTGCCTCTGAGCTTAAGGTAAACCCGGAGTTTTTATACGCATTATGAGCATTCATAAACTTCTGCAAGTATTTGGAGGTATACAGCCAGTGGTGTTTCAAGACGTCTTCCATCTCATAGCACTTGGACTGTCTGGCGTTCATTTTTCGGAAGCGCCTGAACAGTTTGTTGCCAGACTCATTTCCCTCGCTCGCCCATGCCCCAATGGAGCCATCTCTCTCAATAATTTCAGGGACATGTGCCAGGGTTTTGTGAAAATAATTGGTGATTTTGCCCTCATATCTATACTTGAACTTGGTAGAGAGGAGCTCAGCAAAACGCTGTGAATTGAAGCTATACTGGCAGAGAGATTCTGGGCACTCTTTGGCAGGACACGATGATCGCCACACCGGCTTCATCTTAAGGTAAAGGTCCATCAGCTCCCTCAGAGCTTCGTGCCTCTCCTCAGAGGGAATTAACTCACAGACTGCTTCAACGGTCTCTTGGGTCATGAGCTTCCTGGCAAAGTTGCCATTCATCCTCATGATGGGTTTCAGGTTCATCTTCTTCCGGAGATGCTTGTCCAACGTAGCCTGCCATCTCTTCCTTTCCTCTTTGGAGGCGTTGGGATTCTTGTACACCTCCCCTATCTCTAGCTGGAAAATCTTGTAGAACTCGGCTGCATTGCCAATGTCACAGTGGAGCGCATCTATGGAAGGGACCGTCTCGATGAAAGGTTTCGATGAGACCCCTTTCACCCGGTCCCGCAGCTCTTCCACCGACTCGTGGTACGGGTTAGAACGCCAGACCTCATAGCGCTCCAGGTTCTCAGAGTGGCTTCTGGTGATGGAGTGGAAGACGAGATTTTGAGACGCTTCTAGGCGGGTGGCGTCACAAAGGGTACAAATGTAGACTGAGCCAGAAGCCTCGAGGCCTTCAACTTCCCGGACGAGTTTCTCATCGTAGCCGGTGCCCCTGAAGATGAACTTGAAACTCCGAAGGATGCCTCCCATCTCGAGCATTAATTGGCTGCTCTTCATGGCCTCCCTCTCAGCAATGAGAGGGCTCAGGATGGCCGTCAGGGTCTCGTGGTCAGACTCATCCGCCAGCATGAGACACAGGGGCTTACAGCACAGTTCGGAGTTGGGTTTGACTTCTTCAAACACCTTCACATGTTCGGAGCCACGTGCTATCGTAATTTTCATGACCGTGAACGAAAACCGAACGGCCTTTTCTGGAACCACGGGCCCGCTCCCGTGCTTCTCGCTCACATCTCCCATTCCATCGCAAGACTCCTTCACCACGACGGTGAAGGGGCCGTTGAGGTAATCATCAAGGTCTTGGGCTCTCATGCCTTCCAGGATGTCTTCCTCCATGTCCATCAGAGCAGACACCAAAGCTGAATCGTAGCGGAACCGCTTCGCAATGGTGTCCACAGGGTAATCGTCCACAGAGGAGGACAGACCCGAAAGGCCGTCAATAATGCCCACGTCGGTGCTGGAGGACACGTTCTTCAGAGGCGGCTGCCACTCAAAGGGGTGGTAGCCCGGCAGGAGGACCTTCTCAGCGTTCCGAAGGGCATGCAAAGGCTGAAAAATCTGCCTCCCAGTGATGGCTTTCACGGTCCTGTACATCTTGTGGTACTGACTGCAGCTGAGGAAGGTGTTGACACGGATGGCCAGGCAGACAGCTGGCTGCAGGCCAGTGCCCCGTCCCTGCATGATGGCCTCCAGCTCGTCCGCCTGCCTGTGCTCATTCCTGGCCCTCAGCGCCAGCAGGAACAAGGTCAGACACACCGATTTCACATCTCCACCTTCTTCTTTGTCCGCGAAAGCCTTGACTTGGAGCTTGAGCTCCCTCAGGCGGTGCTTCTGAGCCCTTCGGGTCAAGGACAGGAGATGCTGGCGGGGCCGACCCCCCTTGTTAATATGCACAAAAGTCTCTTTGGATTCCTTGTGGCTTGACACGTGGTGATTGTATTTTTCCAAGCTGATCTCCTTGTTGCACTCTTTGGCTGGACATTTCACCATCAGGGAATTCAAGATGCTCAGAAAGGACCTCACTGGGCTCTCTAGGTCGGTAGGGAAGCAGGGATATTGGCAACAGGGACAGTAGCTGCCCATGACTTTCAGGCATCTGAGAATGCAGATCCTGCAAAAGACGTGCTTACAGGTGGTCTCCACGGGATCAGCCAGGATGTGTTCACAAATCTGGCAGGAGATGGATTTCACAAAATGTGCCGGGAAGTCCACGGCAAGAAGCTTGGTACTAAGATGTATATGACTGCAGTTGGAAATCTTCTGCATCACTTCTTTGCTGCTAATCCTTGCCTGGGCTCTCCTCTTGTGCCGACGGGCTCTTCTAGCTTGGTGAACCGCGGTTTTGAGTTTTTTGCTGAGCTGCATGTTTGGCTGATGGCTCTTCCTCTTGAGTCCCTGGCGGGCAGCGTGGCAGATGTCACAGGATGATGTGTGGGGGTGCCACTCCATGGTTGCATTCCTTGGGAAGGAAACCTCACATGGGGCGCTGCTAAACTTCTTGTACATGATGCGCCAGCAGTTATGGCAGAACTCAGTGGGGTGGATGGAGTCAACATCTGCTTTCACGTCCATCCGGAAGACCTTGGCAATGAGGTCTGGCCAGGATGTAGCTCTCCTTTCCTTCTTTCGTAAAAGGACTTGGGTTTTACCATCCACGGGCCCATGGACTGGATATCTTCTATTGTGCTCATCGGTTTTAAAAGAATTCCCACAGATACGGCAGAGATGTCGAAGGTTGGCTTGGTGGATGGCTTTGTCTCTTTCTTTCCCATCATCATGGGATTTCTTCAGAAACTTAGGGTGAACGTTTACTGCTGGTTGACTCAGAGCTGGCTTCTGACCATCAGCCTTGTCCGGGACTCCTGGAGATTGCTCCAGAGAGGGTTTCCCCTCAGAGGAAACTTTCTTTTCTTTTTGAGCCTCTTCAGGTGCCTTTTCAAAAGATCGCACCCTGAATAGTTTAAATTTCCATTCTGAAAATTTGATATGTGGGTGCTGAATTTCATCTGGGGCAGAAGCGAGCCCCAGGGTGGGTGGCAAAGAGACAGCCATGCTGGCTGAGATTCCTGAGAACAATGAAAAAAGTCAGATGAAGAAAAAATTCAATATTCCACTGATGCATCTTAGAAGGAATAAAAATTAATACATTCATTCATTCATTGAATGAAATTGAATGAAAAAAAGTTACTTATTAAACTTCTTATTTTAATATACTCTGTTAGGTGCTGAGTATACAGCAGAGAACATTCATTCTCTGCTTTGACCGTGTCCATGGTTATCTTTACCAACATGCACCACTGTGGTTCATTTTATGTATATTTGTACAATCTTATTTTCTTGCCACCAAAACCTTAAGGTCATTGAGGACAGAATCTCTGAGTGATTCATCTCTATCTCTCCAACATTCTAGTACATACTAGGGCTGAATAGTTATTTGCGGAATAAATACAAGGAAAAACTGGCTAGTAAAACCATGGAAAAGTCATATTTCCTGCATTGTATTAGCCTCATTGCACTAGATGGACAATATATTTCCAGCTTTTTAAAGCAGTCTCCCAGGAGGTTGTTTGTTTATTTCTTCCAAGCGGGTCATAAAGGGATGATAAAGCTACAAACCCAAAGAAACTAATTACTCACTACTTGAAAGGATGAAGTGAATTTTGAGGCTTTATGAATGCTAAATAATAATAAGTATCATGGATAGTAATTATGCTTACAATTTTAATTAGTGAACACTGCTGTAAATTATAAGGCTGTGTCTACATTAGAAACAAAATACCACAGAACTCTAAAGCTGCCATAGTATGAACTTACAAAGATTCCCAAGGACTTTTAAAATGAAAAATTCAAGTAGTGTCAGGAAAAAATCATACAGGCCATCCTGGAAGTCATTACTAGACAATGGTCATTAGCTTGATAGTTTGTAATAAGAAGAGGTAGGAGTAATATTTTTCTTCTGATAAAAAATATTAGCAATTGCATCTGCCAGGAAACCTTACCAATCTGGGGAGGGCTGCAGAAAAAAAAGTCTGCAAATGCCATTTGAGTCCTCTTCTGATCCTATTAGCCCAGTATTTTCAAAATTCCTTAGTACACATCACTGGAAAAACAGCAACTGCGTTTCAACCCATAATCTATTTCTCCCAGATTGCTGGGGTTAACACTCTTAACCCACAAATTATGTGAAGCAACACTTTTTACCCCTGAATTAATTAGCTACCTAGATTGGGGAGCCTGGGTGGCACAGTCCGTTTGGACATCTGACTCTTGATTTCGGCTTAGGTCATGATCTCAGGGTCGTGACATCCAGCCCCACATCAGGCTTTGTGCTTAGCACAGAATCTGCTTGAGCTTCTCTCTCCCCCTCTGCCCCACTCCCACCCCGGACTCATACTCTTTCTCTCTATAAATAAATAAATAAATAAATAAATAAAATCTTTTTTAAAAAATTAACTAACCAACTTGATGGGTTTTTTTTTTAAGATTTTATTTATTTTGACAGAGAGAGACACAGTGAGAGAAGGAACACAAGCAGGGGGAGTGGGAGAAGCAGGCTCCCCACTGAGCAGGGAGCCCAATGTGGGGCCAGATCCCAGGACCCTGGGATCATGACCCGAGCCGAAGGCAGACACTCAACGAATGAGCCACCCAGGTGCAGTTGAGATGTTTTTATAGAGTTACGTGGTCATGGAGGCTAACCCTCAGATGAACAGCTGGGTGGGCTGGGGCTTGCAAGGAAGGAGGTGCAGCGGTCAATCCTGACTGCTCTACCGAAGCTTCTTTTCAAGTCATCCCTTTAAACTACAGACGTTTGGTCCATCGTGCATGCCCTAGTCTTCAGAGGCTGATGTTCTTCATGAAAACTACAAGTCAATTTCCAAGACATGGTTAAAAAGGAAATCCTGTTCAATTGTTCTTTATGCAGGACGACCGTGTCAAATCTAAACAATTTCAATCATCTTCAAGGTCTCATTAATCTCAAAAGTGTTTCACCTGCAGCCCAGAAAACACTGGGCTTGTTGTTTAGTGTTCAGTTATGTTCCTAAATTCTGTCCTGTGTCAGGTGTGAAGACCTCCCAGGTCTCCCCGGCCCCATTGGCTAGAACTCCTTCTCAAATGCCTTTTCATTCCATTAGACTTTTTCTACCTGGTCTTTTTGTATCATGATTGTTCTCTGGATTTCCAAGATAGTCTTCTGAATTTTTATTTTTAAAAAACTGCATCACCATCAATGGAGTTAAATAATGAACTTTCATAATGAGTAAGTCAACCACAGGCATTTTGGAGGGATCTCTAGAATTCTCTCCCCACCCTACCCACTCCCCTCCTGACTCCCACTGGCCTGAACTGTTATGTCCAAATCTGCCAAAATACATTCATTTATTTTTTTTTAAAGATTTTATTTATTTATTGGTCAGAGAGAGAGAGGGAGAGCGAGCGAGCATAGGCAGACAGAGTGGCAGGCAGAGGCAGAGGGAGAAGCAGGCTCCCTGCTGAGCAGGGAGCCCGATGCGGGACTCGATCCCAGGACGCCAGGATCATGACCTGAGCCGAAGGCAGCCGCTTACCCAACTGAGCCACCCAGGCATCCCCAAAATACATTCATTTAAATACTCCCAGAGAAAGCTTACCATCACCAATCAATTATTAGCCACTGACATCCAAATCAAATGTATTTGTTGTTTTCAACTCAACTGCTAAAACTTTATCCAAACTAGAAGCAAGAAGGCGGTAGAAGGGATGTGTTATTCTTGTTTTGAGGGAAATATACACCAAGATGTTAATCATAATTATCTGTGGATGTTACAGATTCTTTTTAAGGATTTTATTTTTAAGTAATCTCTACACCCAACGTGGGGTTCAAACTCACAACCCCGAGATCAAGAGTCACATGCTTCACCAACTGAGCCAGCCAGTCAACCCCAGCTATAGATGTTTTATATTTTTCATCTTACCCATGATTTCTACTTTTTCTGAAATAAACATGTATTACTTTTAGAAGACAGAACTCTGAATAACTAGATCTAATGAGGTATGTTTTATCTATCTGGTTAACAAAGATTGAAAATACTACTACTCAACATTAATGAAGGTATGGGGAAATGCAAGTGTCTTCATACATTCTTGGGAGAACTATAAATTGGTATAATATCTCTAGTGGACAATTTAACCATTTTTAAAAAAAGTTTAACTATATCTTGTCTTTGATGCAATCAACTTGCTTTTTAGGAAGTTATTCTAGAGAAACATTCCCACAGGTCATTTCTTGTGTGGGAATAAATATTCCATAAGTTATTCCCACAGTGAATATTGCATGGAGAGAGATGGAGACAAAGAAAGAGATTTATATTAAAAAAATTATTTGTTACTTTTAAAAAAACAGGAAATAGCATAAATAATCACCAACAGGACATTATTAAGTAAACTCTGGTCCAGAAATACAATGGAAAACAACACAGACATTTAACATTGCCATATGCTTTAATGCATATGTACAATTTCCCTATGCATCAATGATGCAGAAAGATACCCACATGACAATGCAGAAACAGGATAACAAGAGCTGGCAGGATTCCATTTACGCACATTTGCCCACATCTACAAGCACACACTTCCTGGGAGGATACGCCCTAAAATCTTAACAATGTTTATTCTCCAAAAACAGAGATACTGTAACAAGGTCTCCTTAATTTTGTTTTATTCATTCTTACATCATTTTAATTTTGTATCACAAACATGTATTATTTTTTAAATTTTGTGATCAAATTACTTTAGGGGAAAAAATGTTTTAAAAACTAGATTTATGGGGCGCCTGGGTGGCTCAGTGGGTTAAGCCTCTGCCTTCAGCTCAGATCATGATCTCAGGATCCTGGGACTGAGTCCCGCATCGGGCTCTCTGCTTGGCAGGGAGCCTGCTTCTTCCTCTCTCTCTCTGCCTGCCTCTCTGCCTACTTGTGATCGCTATCAAATAAATAAATAAAAATAAAATTTTTTTAAAAAAACTAGATTTATATGTACCCATTGTCATTTTTCTTTATTTCTTCCTAAATCCCCCCCCAAAGTTTTAAGACCTGGCTAAGCCTCAGATCTGATCAACAACCTCATTTTTCTTTTCTAGTGAACGAGTAGAAAGCCAACAAAAATATGGACCTCGATAGAGCAGGAAGTTGGGATTATGTAAGAGTCATTGTGTGGTCATCGTTTGACACTCGGGAATCTTACAAATGCCAGATCTCTCTTCTAACGAAAGATCTTAGCAGCAGACCAGCCTCGCTTGCAGGTTCAGCTCTGTTCCCATGAGGCACGGCAGTGCCATCTCAATGTGGCTGTCACCTGCCATCACAGCTGTGGGGTCTTTGTCAACACAGGGCACAGATTCATTTGGACAAACCAGGCTGGGATAGCGTGGCCCGGATAAAAGCTTCAGTGTGGTGAGTGCTCGACAAGCTGGTTTCAGAGGCTGAGTCACACAGCAGCACCACCTCCCACTCCCAGCCCGGCCTCCACCTTACACACGCCTACATCCAAGCCCTTGACCCACAGTCTCCCCTCTTCACATCCTCGACTTCGTCTGTGTACAATGGCCAAGTGACCACTGTGTGCCCAAGCGTGACCCCTCGTTGTCGCACCTATCCCACTCATGCACCCAACCATTCACCCCATAAATACCCATCTCTACTTTCTGCCCAACACGTTCACCCCATAAATACCCATCTCTACTTTCTGTCCAACACCATCATCAAAAAGTCAGCAGCAACAGCAGCCTTTCTATAAGTCTCAGGCATCCACAAAATGACCCTCAGATTTTTTCCCTTCCTCCAGGCAACGTCTTGCTTGAACTACTTCAGAAAGAGAAGGGCACGGTCACACACCCTAGTCTGGAATCCCAGTTCAAGGACATAATCTCGGTGTAGCGTCTCTACAGTGGCAATTCTAAAAATTATTATGTGTTAGAATCACTGGGGAGCTTGTGTAAAAAAAAAAAAATAATAATAATGCAGATCATCTGGCTCCAGAGATTCTGTTTCAGCTTATCAAGCATGGAGTCCAGAAATCTCATTTGTTAAGCATTTCGGGGATTCTGCTGTGAGGAGTAGCCCATGATCACACTTTGAGAAAAGCTCCAATTGAGTTCAGGAAATTGCTGGCAATACTGGGAGTACCTGGGAAACTACATTTCCTCCCACCCTGAAATTTGTTTGCTGATTACTTACCGTGCCTAGACAAGCACAACATTTCTTTCCAAGAGTCACACCTTCCTTCCGATAATTTATTTACTCATTTATTCGAGAAGCACTCTAAAGGTTTCCTCTGCTCACCATACTCATTTACAGCAATTTGGAGATCTGTATCTTCTCTATGAACCTACACTGTCTTCCTGAACTTGACTTCTTATCCCTTTCCAGTTTTTACACATTAGAAAGAAAAATTAAATTGTTGTCAGCTTCCCTTGATCCCTCCCCTCATCCCCTGCAAAGAAAAGAAGCCCAAGTCCTTCTGATTAGAAACACAAAAATGTAATAAATATTGTGGCTCAGGGCATGAAAGTATGAGTGTTACCTTGCTCAGCAGGCTGCCTGGCCAAAAGGTTGGGATGTCTGTAATTCAGTTGGTATGACTTGATAACCAAAGAGAAGGCCAAGTGTGCTCTCCTCCCCCTCTTGGCTCTCTCAGCGCCCTCAGAGCAGACAGCTGCATTATTTATCAGCTTCCACTGTCCTTCCCAGCCTCCCCCCACCACAGAGGGCTAACCACACAAGCCAGCAGCCAATCACAGGCCAGGAGCCTCCAGCTCCAGCTGGCACCTGGCTCTTCAGGAAGCTTCGCTGGGGACCCGAGTGTCATGGGGGTGTGCTGGAACATTGCCAGAGCTGCCAGTTCACTCCCCAAGCCTGTCTGGGTTGGACATAAACTTGTCAACAGAAGTTCTGGCTTCTGCCAAAAGATGCGATGGCCCTGTGCCTCAGTTTCCTCATCTGTAAGATAGAAATGCTAATAGCATATACCTCAGAGTCAGCGACATTATACAGTGAGAATTATCACAGGAAAATGTGGGGGACGGTGTCTGCCCTTAGTAGAAATTCACCACATACTAACTCTGATTATTTTTATTCTTACTTTGAAATAAGATCCAAACCCATCCCAGAATCCTCCTACCTGGTCAATTCTCAGTCAGGGAAGGTTGTACTCCTTGCAACAACACTAGGTTTAAACAAGACTAAACATATTTTGAAGTAAACAGGCCTGGATTTGAATCATGCCTCAGGTCTTCAATACCTTACTTAAATTTTGGGATCCAGAATCTCCTCATCTACAAATTGGATTGATCATTTTAGCCCCGAGCAATAGGCTAGGCTTCTAAGTGCTTTATGTATTATTTAATTGTCCCAGCAATCTATACATTTGACATTATTATCTCTAAAGAGGAGCAGTACAAGTTTAGAGCAATGGAGAACCCATCCAGGGTCACACAACTACTAGCTGGTGAATGTGGGTTCCTTAAGCACTCCACTCCACTGTAAAGGAATAATAAAAGCTAGTCTGTAGTTGTAGGGGAAGATGACTCAAGAATATACTTCTGGGGGCACCTGGGTGGCTCAGTGGGTTAAAGCCTCTGCCTTCGGCTCGGGTCATGATCTCAGGGTCCTGGGATCAAGCCCCGCATCGGGCTCTCTGCTCCACAGGGAGCCTGCTTCCTCCCCTCTCTCTCTCTGCCTGCCTCTCTGCCTACTTGTGATCTCTGTCTAATAAATAATAAAATCCTTTAAAAATAAATAAAAAATAAATAAATAAGAATATACATCTGTTTACTTAACACCATCTCTGTTTCAAACCCCATTCTTAGTTCTTAGGCCAGGTTTATTCCCAAAGTACATCTCTGTCCAGCTAGTATGTGAGGGATCTTCTATGTTCTCATTTGATTCTTAGCAAAAACTGTCAAAGGGGTAGGTGCAAGGACTTAATCTGTGCTGTGCTGCCCTTGTAAGACACTCCTCTTATATCTCCAATATTTTTTTTTTAGTTATAGCCAATGTAATTTTTTTTAATTTTATTTATTTATTTATTTGACAGAGAGAGAGATCACAAGCAGGCAGAGAGGCAGGCAGAGACAGAGAGGGGGGAAGCAGGCTCCCCGCTGAGCAGAGAGCCAGATGCGGGCTCAATCCCTGGACTCTGGGATCATGACCTGAGCTGAAGGCAGAGGCTTTAACCCACTGAGCCACCCAGGTGCCCCGTATCTCCAATATTTTGCACTTGGGCCAATCTAACCGCACAGCAGTCCTGGGCACACAGCTCCTGCTCCCTAAGCTAAAGTCAGAACAGGAGCCACTGCAATCATATTGGGAGAGATGGCCTGTGGCTTCTACGTGCTTCGGTGTGTTTGTGCTCACAGGGATAGACCCATCACCTGAGGTCCATATGACACTGAGACAGGGCAGGTGGGAGCTAAGAATTCCCTAAAGATGGTGTCCATGTTCAGATCAGCAGGAAGCAGGACCTGCAGGATGGGTGGGCTTTATAGCCTTTAAGTCCTTCATTCAGTGGGGTCAGGTAGAGAGGAGACAACACAGCAGACAGGAAGACGATGCCCTTCCCATCCATCCTCCCATGGTCCAAAACCCTGCATCTTCCCTGGACTCAGGGAAAGAGAAAGGGCCAGATGTTCTTGCTTCATGTTGAAGGAAATAGGAAATTATCACAGAATTAGAAAAAGCAGGGAGTCCCAGCTTCCAAGGATCAGGCAGGCTTCGGTTCTAAAGACTCACCTAGAAGTTAAGCGATACTAAGGTGGCCAACCATCCCACTTTTCTGGAACTTTCCTGAAGTCCAAACAAACAATGTCAGTGGGTCACGTGACAATGTCCCACGTGACAAACCCCACCTGGCGCAAACTCGGACTTCCATCATAAAACGGCAAAGTCAGAGCTGCCTAGGATGCCACGTTGTTCTGAGCAAATTAAAAATAAAACTGTGCTGACAGATCTTGGCCTAATTTAACAGGAGGAAAAGCACAAAAAGGCCAAACTGGCATTTGGACGATTCGATGCCCATTTCCAGCCTTGAGCCCGGCACTCCCCGCTGTGTGATTAGCTGCAGTTAATTCTGGAAGTGTCTAAAGGCCCTGCACTGGCCTGGCTCCCTCTGGGCATGTGCACCTGGCGGCTGTCCCTCCTTCCCCCAGCCTCTCCATCCGAGCCCCCAACTCTCTTCAGCAAGTTGCCTACATTTATCCCCTTGGCTCTCTGCAGGCCCTTTGAAGAGAACTTTTCAAATTCAATTTCTTCCCAGACAGCCATGAGCTCCAGTTGTTGATACCAATCAAAATCCGCCCTCGCAGCCGAGGTCTGAGCGTGTGAAGGCGGCGTTTTGCGCTTTTATCATAAACCAGCAGATGCTCTTCACTGACATCGTGATTACACGTATAAGCTTGTATCTATGTATCTCCAGCTTGTAAAACTCCTGCCTCCTAACATCGCCAACCCGAACGCCAGAGCTAAAAGGGAACTTGGAGGTTATCAGACCCGATGAACACATCTCATAGGTGAGAAACAGTCACCAAAGGGCAATGTCTTGCTCAATGTCGCAGGACAGAATTAGAAGCAGAAATAGCATTACAGACCAGGTCTCTAGGATCCCAGGGTCCCAGGACAAGATTCTTCCCACTGCGCTGGAAAGGGAGCATTCCTCCCTCTCCCGCCCCCGTGCCATCTGGCTTCCCTTAGCCTGGAAAGGAACTTGAGTTGGCAAAGAAGCGGAGCCTTCATAGGTCACTGCTAGATGAGAGCCTTCCGTGAGAAAGCGAACTTGCCCCAGTGCCGGGAGCCGAAAGCCAGCATCTCTACACGCTCATTGCTCCCCCACTTCCCCAGTCTTGAAATTGCCTTCTAATTAACTCAATGTGGATTATCCCTGTTAGTAAATTTTCTAATGTGTTATTAATTGCTCTGAACGTCAGCTGCAGCTCATTCTCCACAAATTCTAGAGTGCCGCCGCGGGCTTTCTTGTGTCCGGGAGGCTGTTTCTAAACAACCACTGCCATCGTGTGGGCAAAAATGGTCCCTCAGGAAAAGCCATTCTTGAGCCTAAAAAACTCTGAAATTGGATCCATGAACCGATTCCAGGAGCCATTAAGTTTGGTTCTCTTCTCTCCTCCCCTTTTCCCCGACTTTTCTTCTTCTCCTCCTCCTCCTCCTCCTCCTCCTCCTCTTCTTCCTCCTCCTCCTTCTTCTTCTTCTTTCTTTTTTTAGCAAAGAACCTTCTTTTTTTTCAAGATTTTATTTATTTATTTGACAGAGAGAGATCACAAGTAGGCAGAGAGGCAGGCAAAGAGAGAGGGGAGGAAGCAGGCTCCCTGCTGAGCAGAGAGCCCGATGCAGGGCTCGATCCCAGGATCCTGAGATCATGACCTGAGCTGAAGGTAGAGGCTTAACCCACTGAGCCACCCAGGCGCCCCGACTTCTATCCTCCCTAACCTTCCCCTCCACCACCCCCTACCTCCGTCAGATTCCCCCATAATTCCTATAGACGAAGAAAGAATGCCAAAAGTTTAGGCAATCCAAACAACTTCCTCAAGACCCCACACCTAGCTAACTGCAGTCTTCCCCTGAAGTCAAGAGCGGTCCAACATGCTAACTGCTAACTCTGCACTGCTAACTGGCCCCAGAAAACATGTAATAAATACCTTCTCCTCACTCCGCAAACAAGTAAAGACATGAAGACTGTGCCCTCATGAGGGAGTTTGAGGACCTGAGAATGACGTCCAGTATTTAGGACTCTACTAGACATCCTTTCTGATTTGCAGGCGTCTGACCCATCTTCAAGCCCCAAATATAAGAAGTTGTTTCTTTCTTCCTTGTCATATTTAGCTGTCAAGGTGTAAGAATGAGTTACAACATCAGTGTAGGATGAATTTGATTGAAATTTCTTAAAGCTGGAATTCAAGTTTGAGGAATGAGCCCTCTCAGCCTAGAGTAAACATAACAGCCTGAGATTAGTACTCACAGGACAGCAAAAGACAATTTTACAAAAAGCCACACTGGACAACAAAAAGCTCTACAATTTGGGGGTTTCCAAAATTTCACAATGATTTTTGGAGGGTGAAAAAAAGACACTTTTAAACAAAGGGACTTAAACTACAATTTAAATTAATTTAACTGTGTTTCTGTCTATAGTTACTGTGGGGTTTGATTTTCTATATAATGAGAGCAATTGCTATGTTTTTAATAAATGTTAATGAAAAACTGCTCTTTTCAACTTATGAATAGTGGTTCTAGAGAGAGATGGAAAGATAGAATCAACTCCTAATTATTTTCAAGCAAAAATCTGCCCTTGAATAGTCTGTAATGTGTTTCTTAAAAAATAGTTTATAATTTACTATGTGAGTTAGATGTTTATCTTGTTATATACTTTTCCTGGGACATTCTTCCCACTCAAAGAGCATAGTTTCCAAATGCAAGTAAAATCTCACTTTGCCATTATCATTACAGAAAAGAGAAATGTCTGTATCTTTATTTCCACAACGAGGGATGGCTATGGGTAGTAACAATTCACTTCATTAAATAAGTTTTGTAAAGACCAATCTGGATTCTACTCTTTCCTGTCTTCATGTCAATCTTAAAAAATATCTTTGCTTTGTGACAGGAAGAGAGGGACAAG